TATATTTTAAGTTTTTTTTCATGCCTTACGTAAAGATACTCACTGTACAGCTAGCAGGACTTTGTTATTGTAGTGGTCGATCATTTTCATAACCATCTGTCCTCCAGTGACCTGATAATGAAAATTTGATAGAAAGTTAGGTTACATATATAAATACGAGTTGGCCTCATTTGGCTGTATATATGTATGTGTTAGTGTGGTTTTATCTATTTATATTCATATATATCGATGTATGTTGTTGTTGTTTTTTTGTTTGTGTTTGTGTGTGTTTGTGTGTGTGTTGTGTGTTTGTGTGTGTGTGTGTGTGTGTGTGTGTGTGTGTGTGTGTGTGTGGTGTGTGTGTTGTGTGTGTGTGTGTGTGTGTGTGTGTGTGTGTGTGTGTGTGTGTGTGTGTGTGTGTGTGTTCGTGATAATGACAAAGATAAAAGTAACAGCATAATCAATATCATTAACATCATCATCAAACGGCCACGAGCCAGCCCTCTGACCTGCAGGATCTGCCGCGTGACGTCCACCAGGTCGTGTCTGAACGTGGCCTGGTCAGTGACTCCGGCCGTCCGCTTCCTCTCCCTCTCCGTCTCCCTCTCTTCCCGGTCCTCCCGCTCTCCTTCCCGCTCTCCTTCCGCCCCCCTCGCCCCTCCCGGCCCCCTCCCGGCCCCGCTCTCCTCGGGGAAGTCCTCCTCGCTCATGTCCCGCTGTTGCGAGCCCGACGCTCCCCCGGCGTAGCGGGGACGTGCGGGGGGCGGAGGCCTCGGCGCAACACCCCTCCTTATACGTTGCTGTTGAGGCTCGCGGCGCCCTTCCAGGCTGTGCCGCGGCGGAGGGGCGTCTCCCCCCGCGGTCGCTATGAGGCGCTGTTGGCCGGCATCCTCCCCGCTCGCCGAGAAGCTGCGGCGGGGGGGCGGTGCTCCCTCCTCCGCGCCGCCTCCTCGCCCCGCATCCCCCCGCCTTATGGCGCCCTGTCCGGCAGGAATGGCCGGATCCATACCAACTCCTTCCAGATCCTCGCGTGCCTCCGAGGCGTCGGCCGCGTCGCCCCTGGCAACCCCCACCAGCAGATCCCACGCGCCGACCACGTCTGTCTGTCATGTTATACCACATCTGGAAAAAAAATAATAATAAAATAAATCATAAAAAGAAAGAGATGAGATTTCGTTTTCATCCAGAGAGGCAATTCTTCTCATATCCTTTCCTTGTTTCATAATTTCTTAACGCAAAAAAAGCGACACACATATACACTGGGACTCGGCTCACGTGTTATGCTCCACCCTCGCTTCTCGTTGAATAACAACTAAGCTAAATATGATTTACTTTCATTACAGTATATGGATTGCAGCATGCATTTATTTAATGAACGTACGTATGTGCTTGTATTTGGGCAATTATACGTAAGTAGTATGCATGTATGCATGTATGTATGTATGCATGCATGCATGTATGTATGTATGTACGTATGTATGTATGCATGTATATATGTATGTATGTATGCATATATGTATGTATGTATGTATGTATGTACGTATGTACGTACTTATGTACGTACGTATGTACGTACGTATGTATGTACGTATGTATGTATGGGCGTATGTATGTACGTATGTACGTACGCATGTATTTATGTATGTATGTATGTATATATGTATTTATGTATGTATATATGTATGTATGTATGAATGTATGAATGTATGCATGTATGCATGTATGTATGTATGTATGTATGTATGTACTTATGCATGTATGATGTATGTATGTATGCATATATGTGCACATGCATTTATATATGCATGTATGTATGTATGTAGACATATCTATGCACAAGTATGTATGTATAGATGGATGGATGGATATTTGTGTGTACATGTATGTATATGTGTACGTGTATGTATATATGTACGTGTATGCATTTGGAATTGGTTCATTTTATGTATTCCTTTCCATCCCATTGCGACAAAAAAAATGTTCAAAATCAAATTGTTTTCCATCATCACATCCGTGACGAAAACAATCGGCCTTCATTTTCTCTCTCTTTCTCTCTTTCTTTTCTTTCTCTCTCTCTCTCTCTCTCTCTCTCTCTCTCTCTCTCTCTCTCTCTCTCTCTCTCTCTCTCTCTCTCTCTCTCTCTCTCTCTCTCTCCTCTTTCTCTTTCTCTCTCTTCTCTCTCTCTCTTCTCTCTCTCTCTCTCTCTCTCTCTCTCTCTCTCTCTCTCTCTCTCTCTCTCTCTCTCTCTCTCTCTCTCTCTCTCTCTCTCTCTACTTTCTCTTTCTCTCTCTCTCTCTCTCTCTCTCTCTCTCTCTCTCTCTCTCTCTCTCTCTCTCTCTCTCTCTCTCTCTCTCTCTCTCTCTCTCTCTCTTCTCTCTCTCTCTGTCTGTCTCTCTCTCTCTCTCTCTCTATTTCCATTCTGTCTATCTAGAAAAAAGTATGTCTATGTCATTCATAACCTTTTTTTTTCTTTAGTTACTTCAGTTGTTTTTTATCATTTTTTGGTGTCATTCCCAACCCT